TCTTTTTTTTTTATCTTGTACAATAAGAGACAGCTATCTTACATTTTTTATCTTACTCTACTCGCATATCATGCAACTTGAACTTAGAATCTCTTACTTTTAATGAAAAGAGATGATCACTGAATTATTTAAATAGTTAACATTTTCAATTCAACTCTTAAATTCCATAATTTGTCAAATATTATTTTTTTTGATATTTTTTTTTATCTATGACTTCTCAGTCTAATGTTGAAAAAGGACAAAATTGCACAAATAGTAAATTTAGAGGCCTATCTATTTTTAAATTTTAATTAAAAATATGGGGTTAGTTCAGACGTCAGAGACTTAGCATTAGGGTTTGGCCAATAAAAAATTCTCAATTATTGCATTTCGTGATCTGCGTGTGTCCGAATTTATTAACATAGGAGCACGTTCCGCTTCCCGTGGAATTTTGTAGGTTTCCTGCAACCGTCTCTGCATGTGAGTCTGTGTGGAACTAAAGGATAGGAAGCGGCGGTCAATGGTGGGCTACCAGATGAGACTGGACGGTAATGACTGAGGAGCTGTGGGGGTGTTAGGAACGATCCAACAATGCATGTTAGATTTAATCTTGGAGGTAGGGGTCCATGCATGGCCCCGTGAGTCCTGGATTTTCATGAACATGATGATTGATCCCCCCTCCCGTCCGATGGAATTCGAGCAAGAAAGGGACGAGAAATGGGGGCATGGATGGACTTACATGCGGTGCTGGCATTTCATTTTCACCGGCTCTCATAACTGCAACGTGCCTAGGATTCCAAACAATCAAGATGGAGATGTTCTGTTTTTATGTATATATTTATTCACATTGCTTGATTGTGTGAGATTGGACTCTATCATGTTATAAAATTAGAAAAGCTTGGCATTTTATAGTTTAAATTATAAAATATAAATTATTAAATATTTGACCGTAAATTTTTTTTCTAAAAGAATTAAAATATTTTGATAATGGGTATATGTTTGTTTGGTATAGTAGGTGAAAAGTTTTTTTGAACTTCAAAAGCTTTAATTGCATTAAATATTATAATTTATAAAAAATGCTACAATTTCTCGTAAGTTAATCTTTTGTCTATTTCATTGAAAATCTCAAAAGCACCGAATTAGTGCTTCTGCAAGAGTTTCTCATTTGAGTTTTAATGAAATTAACACATTATTATTATTTCATCTCTATTTTTCTTACTATTTATAAAAACAGCATTTCTATAACATTTTTTTTCCAACAAAATTTTTATTAAAAATTCTAACCACACCAAACAAGCATGTAATTTGGTCACTATTAAAATTGTTAATATCACTAAAATAGTATTAAAAAATATTAATTTAATTTAATTTAATT